TCATTCATTTATTCATTAATTTTTCTATTTGTTTATTCATTCATTCATTCATTCAACAAACCAACTACTTCGTTCAGCGAATTAACAAACAATTTTTTCTAAAATTTTTTCATCAAATGAAGTTTGTCAATAAGTCAAATTTTGTGAAATTGTTACCGTTTAAACAAAAATGAATGTAACTCTAACTCATAACAAAATCATTATCATATACATTTCATGTTTTATTAAAATTTAGGAAGTTTTAGAATATATTTCAGAATATGTTTCAGGCACTTGAACAAATCCATCAAGCAGACAGCCAGTCATACAGACCAGACAGGCAAACATGCCAGGCAGACGACAGACATCAGACAGAACTAAACCCTGTTCACTTTCTGGCATTTTCCTACATTGTAGTAGGCCAGCCTAACTCTTTTGCCCTTCTTGCTTCTCCTCCTTTTTCCGCACTTCCTCGACCTCGACCTGCATTTTGAATTTGCACGCCCTTCTTCCTGCCAAGCATCTCCTCTCTGCTCCAAGTTCAAGCATTTCATATTGCAAACTTCTGAGATGATTCAGTGGAGATTGGAAAATTTTTTTGTTTATATTAGTTTTGAAAATTTTTGTATTCGGTGTTAATGTAGATAAACTTTTTAATTATTTTAATTGCTTGTTGCAATTTTTGATTTGTGTTTTTGCATGAAGGTATTACGTCATATTATTGAGTCATTAGAGTTTGAAGTTGAAAAAATTAAAATTCAATATTTTTTTGTTTTAATTTTTTTATAAATTTGTTAATCATCTGGTATTTTTTACATTCTGTGATAATGTGATGAACGGTCAGTCTTGTACCACAAGTACCGCAACATGGAGCTAAAGATCTTGTTTGAATCCAAGAGTGAGGTAATTTTGTGTGACCTATTTTGATTCTGTTTGGTATCTTCTTTCTAGATGCAATACATTTGGATTCCGACTATTTACTTTAGGGTTTGAACTTTTTAAAAAGTTATTGGATTGATACGATACATTGATGTATGACGGGTTTTATATCGGACATAGGTATTGGAATGTTTTAATCAAATATTTAAATTTTTGATCCATCGGTATATACTTGTGTGTAGTTGAAACATTTTTGAATTATTTGTTTGAACACAACTTTTACTTGGATTGTATCTTTTTTGATTTTTCGGACAATAATATTTTTTTAATTTGAGATATTTTTTTACAATAATTAGTTTTGGGAAAAAAATATCTAATTTAAAATTAGCGCTAAATAAAAAGATTTATTTAAATGACGTAACATTGCAAATTTGTGCTGACCAATGAAAATGATACAAACAACACGCCAGACTATAAATAAACTACGCTATTACGTTGTGGCTCAAAAAAAATATGTAACTAAAAAAAATCGTAAAACCAGAACACAAAGTCTAAGGTTAGAAAGGTATCAAACTACTTTATATGTAAAAAGTTTCAATGTGCGATTTTTATCTTATTCTAATAAAAATAAAAATGGTATTCATGTAAAATTGATTCGTTAATTTGCTTTCAATCTCTTTAGAAAGTGTCCAAATGTAATGTTGGCTGAGAATGGTTTGATTGTGCAGTTGTGCCAGTGAACAGAGAAGTTGATGCAGACAGAAGAACAAGATGGAACCAAAGAAGAACCAAGAATGCGGCCCGAACGAAAGTGCCATGGCTGTTGAAAGGTCCAGGTCTAGGTACCACTTAAAGTGCAAATCAAAAAAGAAGTCGAGGAAGTACTGTGGTCGAAGTCACAACAGGACACCCTACATTGATAAGTATCCACGCGTTTGCAGGAAAAAGAAGTGATGGATGTCTGACGGGACTGTGTGTGATTTCTTAAGTAGTCAAAAATTGAAAGAAATCGTTTAGAAATGTAATCTGTCTAAGTTTTCGTCAATGACTTTTACATTACGTTGGATGTTATTTGGGACGATGCAGTGATTTATATACATAAAAATTAAAAACTTGTTTGGCATTTTTTATAACTAAGAACAAAATAAAATAGATAAAACCAATCACGCCTATGTACACAAAGTTCAAATTTCTAGCAAACTTCAAGCAATTTCGAAATTCATTTTTTCAGTAAACAAAAATCAAAAATGATCGTATTTGGATATTGTTTCTTCAATCCAGCTAATAAAATTAGCGACCTTGGCATAAATTCCAGGTGAGTTTTTATTGGCGCATCCATTGCCTCTGGAGGTCACTCCCATCAATGTGTGCACGCCTAATAGCAATTTTAATAAATATACATAAACGTGCTGGTGCCCTTTGGGCACTCAATGTTCTTTCTGAAGTTTCACGATAAAATTTACTTATATATATAACGTATGCGAAAATCTTACGTTCAAGTAACTTTTCCAAAATCTCAATGGAAGTGAACTAAGTGGGAAACTCAATATCTAACAACCGCATTTCAAAAAATATATTAAGAGTGAAATTGATTAAGTTGGAAATGAATGAGGTTTGAAGGTACCTACCATCGATGTTGCAGATGAGTGGACCGCCACTGTCTCCACTGCACGTGTCCACCTCTCCCGTGGCGTAGCCTGCGCAGAAGGAGTCCTCCGTGACGAACAGCTTGAAAAGATCTTTGTAGAGTCTCTTGCACTCTGTCTCGTTTATTATCGGCAGGATGGCAGAGTGTAGCGAGTTTGGAGGCGTCAGAGAATCTTCAAAATAATTGCAATTACAAAATTTAAAATGTTTTCTTTCGTAAATTCATTAAAAATGATTTACAGAATTGTGAACAATTAAAATACATTAATGTATTAAAATGGGGTTTGACGTGATAAGATTTGATACTGCATCGCAACCTTCGTCAATGAGTCCCCATCCAGTGACCTCACACTTCATGCCGGCTTCGTAGGTTGTTGATGCTGACGGGAGGCAGGCTGGTTGCACGTAGTGGTTGAACTGGATGAAGGGACGAAGTTTCGTTGTTTCTGGTTTTTTCAGAGTTTTTGTGCTCTTTTGATCGGTTTTAGATGGTTTTGTGGAAGACGCAGCTGTTGAAATTGTCGGTCTTTTTGATGTTGAAAATTTAAAACGTTTTGCTGATACCGTAACTGGTTTTTTTGTTAGATGTTTCTTTGTTGATGTGGCATCAGGTAGCTCTATAGAAGAAGTTTCTTTAGCCACATTGCTTGTTACAGCGGCAGGAGTCGCTGCCGTGGTCGTGCAATTGATTTTGTTAGTTTTTTTGTTTTTTCTCCTTCTGTTCCTATTTTTTCTGCTTCTAAGATTTTCAAAAACGTTTGTCGATTGATATTTCTTTTTATTTTCGGTAGACGATTCACGCTTGTAATAACCTTTACTGCTGATCTTGGCTTCAAGTCTCAAAAGGGCAATATCTCCTTTCAGCAGAGCAGCTCCGTACGTTCTTCGGGGTTTGTTGACTGATATGGTTGATGTTTAATTTTAAATGGTACAAATTACAAACTTCATAAAAGTTTAAACCATCACAGTTCTTAAACATTATTGATCAACTGGATGTAAAACATAACACTCAAGATTTTAGCAAGAGAATCACAATCAATTTAATCAAAAAAAAACTTTTACTGTAACTATTGATTGATATAGTCCCAAAACATGGTATACTTGATTACATTTAATGACATTGCAATAAAAAAAGTTGGGAAAATAACTTACAATGACTGTCAAATAACGAAGTAACAAAGAAGTCGAAGTAGTTGAAGCGAAAGCCTGGCAGATCGTCTTCTTCGTTGTAGTTGTAGTCGTCGTAATCAGTAACATCATAAAGCAAGTTGTCGTCTTCATTGTCATACTCCGATGTGGTCAACTCAGGGAAACTTTCATGTATGAATATCTTGTCGACGACGAAGACTTGCTCGTGGTCGTCTCTGGTCACCAGGTTGTGGTCACCAACCTTCACTATTATGTTATTCTTCTCCTTCCTTATTTCATGCGTTAAAAAAAAACAAAACATTACCGATAAAATTTTCATCAACATAATGACTTATGTCTCAGGTAAGCAAATCAGAATTTTCAAAACTAAATATAACTTTAAATACATCCACTTAATCGTGACACTGGTAACTAAAAATTGATTTAAATTAATTTAAAAAATTGCTCATCACACTTTTTATTTATTGAAACTTATACAAGAGCTAGTGAATGAAGAAAAAACAATCAAACATTAACAGACAGCACAAAATAAAATGCAGAAAACGAACGCAAAGCAATGTGCAGCAGTGAGAATCCATCTATCTGCAATGATGGTGCCCCCACAAAGATGGTAGGCCCTGTCCCTGACCAGCACCATGACGCGGGCCATCCATGGGTGAGAACCGTACGTCGATGACTGGCCACCGATGATTTTGTGCATGGTTGGATGTATGTGACGCTTACCACAGGTTTGATATGTGAATGTGGTCGGTTTGTCTGTTGTTGCCAATGATGATGACAATGTTGTTCTCGTTGAAGATGAAGCTCCAAAGTCTATTTTTGCTTTTGTCGGTGCTGTTGTTGTTATTGTTGTGCTGGCTTCTGTCGGAGCATTTAATGGAAATGATTAAACTGTTTACTACATTATTTATACTAATATCTAGTTTACACATTATCATGATAGTTTCACGATCTATATCAATTACATTTCGCATAATCATATTACCAAATCGTGTTCAAATGCAACGCTAGATTTACAAACTTGGTAGGCAGATGACGCCAGCATCCTGTTTGTGGCTGCACCTATGCTCCCCCCACACCGAACCCCTGCAATCATTTATGTGGTTTTCGTGACCTTTGCAAGCCAACCTGCTAATCCAGATGACACCTTCGCCCTCGTCGTGCACCGTCCCGTGGTAGGCTCTGCTGGCCTTTGCTTTGCTCACATCTCTGTTCAATAACGTTGATTGGTTGGTGCTTCGTTCACAACGACAATAAAAGTAATCATCTGTGTGGCTTCACTGATGATAAATATTACATTAATACTAGAGAAATAACAGAAAAAGATGTAAAATCATCCATTAATTATGCATTCCATATTTAAAAGCATCCAGGCAAGTACTTACTTGAATCCGAGCATCCGGCAGATGACTTTTGCGTCCCTGTCGTCCCAGCGATCCGAACATATTGTTCCCGTTATGTTGCTGATCTTCAGCTCCACTCTGCCCTCCCCACGACCCACTCCTCCCTTCAGACTCACCTGCATCTCTGGTAAGGGTGGTAGTGGTGGTTTCAGGCGGTTTCATTTATATTTTACCTTCCATAATCGATAGATCGTTTGTATAAATAAATAAAAAAATCGATGAAATAAATAGATAATTTAGGCAGAAAAATATATGAGTGAATGAATAAATGAGTTAATGAGTGAATGAGTGAGTGAGTTAATGAGTGAATGAGTGAGTGAGTGGGTGAGTGAATGAATGAGTGAATGAGTGAGTGGGTGAGTGAGTGAATGAATGAGTGAGCGAGTGAGTGAGTGAGTGAGTGAGTGAGTGAGTGAGTGAGTGAGTGAGTGAGTGAGTGAGTGAGTGAGTGAGTGAGTGAGTGAGTGAGTGAGTGAGTGAGTGAGTGAATGAACGAACGAACGAACGAGCAAGCGAGCGAGCGAACGAGCGAACGAATGAATGAATACGAACGATGACAAAGAATCTCATCAGCGCCATCTGGGCAGTCGGCGACCTCATCGCAAATTGAATTCAACGCGACACATTTTCCACTACACAATATATTTCTATGCTGGTTGCATTCTTTGTCTGCGGTTGGTTGAATGAAATAATGGATAGATAGTTGGATGGGTGAATGAATGGATGGACGGCTAAATGATTGATTGACGGATAGCTGAATGGGTGAGTGGATAGTTGGATGAATATATAGATGATGGTGAATAGACGATAAATGGTTGACTGACTGATGTAGATTAAGATGACGGAAATAATGATAAATGGTTGGTGTATTTGTATGATAATTTGCTTACCCTTGTGCCTGGCAGCATATGATGACCTCTAGAAATAAAATAAAAATTTATATTTCGTTTTTTTAATTTTTATTCAGATTTTTGGTAAAAATTTTTGATGCCAAAGTTGTTGAAAAATAAATGAATTTCATTTTTACTAACTTTCGCGGACGCTGCGGCGATTAGTACGAAGCTTAAGAACAAGATGACATGAACGTGTGGCATGCGTTTAACCGTCTGCAGAAGAACAAGTAGGTCACTTATAATTCATACTATAATAAATACATTATAATTCATTCTATATTCAAACATTATAATTTGTAATATAATTATTGCATTATAGTTAGCTGCTACACTATAATTACTGTAGAGAATAATTAAAAAACAATTTTCAAATGTGAGAAATATTTTTATTGAAAAGTTCAAATTTCAAGTTACAACAACAACTATTTTTACCATAATAAGGCGCATCAGATGTTAAACGAATTCAATATTTCAAGTTTGTAAAAAAAACACTTATTTATTTAATTTTTAACTTTTTAATTTACAAAGATAACTATCGTAACGTAAACAAAGATACAGTATGGAGCGTTCATACGTACTTATCTAACAAGACCCAGAGATGCTATTTATACATGTAGAAGAAAGAATGCTGCGACTGTTGACTATGAATGTATAAGATGGGTTTGTGTGAATGTGCGAGTTAATGCGAGTTTGTGAATGTGTCTGTGTGTGTCTCTGTGTGTAATGGGTGAATGTGTTTGTGTGTGTGTTTGTGTACGTGTTAATGTGTTTGTATGTGCAAGTTTGGACGTGCATGAGTGAATGTGTTTGTTAGTGTACGTGTGTACCGTATACGTGTGATGTGTTTGGGAATGCGAGTTATTACGATCGGTAAAACCTATGGTCCATTAAAAATTTTTTTTCTGCAAATGAAAGATCAATTATAGTATATGAGGAACCTGGTGTCATCTCTTCCCTCGCAGTTGGAGTTTGCTTGTTTGAATGCTAATTTGATATTTACAAACAACGTTTAAAGTTTAAAACAATGCAACGTTACGAACAACGGAATGGAGTGTTGAAGATATTGGAAAGAATGTGCGAAAAGAATGATGACACCATCAACTCAAGATAACCACATTCAAATTCATTCCCTCACACGCACGCACACACGTACACGCGGATTAATACACACACACACACACACACACACACACACACACACACACACATATATATATATATATATAATATACAGACACGTGCACACACATACATATACACAAACCAAGCACTCACGTACACCAACAAATTCGGACAAAACGTGGCTCTGTTGTTCATTAATATCAGATTTTTGGTTAGTTGTCGTTAATTTTTGTTTTGTTTATTCAGAGTGCACCATATTGATGGCGTATGTTTTGCAACTGATCACAATTACGGATATTACCATCTGAAATGCATGGTCGTTGCTCGTTTGATCATAAATAAAAATAAATGAAAAGAATTAAAATAATTTAATTAACTAATTTTTTTAATTCAATAAATTTTTAAATTTAATAAATTTATTATATAAAACATTTGTTGGCACCTGTCTGAATGTTTTCAGGCTTGCACTTGCGCATATTACAATTTTTGTCCAATTTTATTTAGCAATGTGACGTTAACGTTAAGAAATTAATAATAAAAATACAAGCTTGAGTTAAATTTCAAAATACCCCACATACACAAGATACATTCACACACACACACACTCACACCAACACACTCACACAAAACACTCACACACAACATATTCACAACTTTCAGCAAAGGAAATGCTGTAAATAAAACCATGTCATAGCACCCATTAACAAATTCACGTGACTTTGGTCCCTTCGAACTCTCTCTTCTACTTGACCTGATTTTTGGTTCCTTTATTATATGAATGTTTGAATAAGCAGCACATATTAAGCAAGCAAGCTCCCAGCAATTATGTCGAATGAAAAAGTAAATTATCAGTCGATTGAGAACAGACGTCATTATCTTCAGAGCACGAATAAATCATCATCATCATTATCGTCTCTATCTCCATCGTCATCATCTTCTTCTTCTCTATCGCCTTTAACGTCTTTATTATCATCGTACTCTTTTTCATCATAATTTTCATCATCATTATTTTCATCTCCATCATCATCTCCATCTCATTCATCATATCCATCATCATCATCGTTGTCGTCGTCGTCATCATCTTTTTAAGCACTGCCCCCATTTTCATCATCTTTATTTAATATTAAAATCCTAATCATCATCATCACTACCATCACTACCACAATCTATCTACACCATCATTTGTACCATCATGATTCTAGTTATGGGGTATGCATGAACGAATGAATGTTCACGTCACATGAACGTCTCAACACAACACCAGCTAACAATTCACCAATTAATTCATTTATCCATTCATCCATTTATTCACCCATATATCTTCCACTCACATATTTTCCACCAATATATCTTCACACCAATATATCTTCCCACTCATATATCTTCCATTCATATATCTTCCAACCAAATATCCTCTACCCATGCATCTTCCACCTAGATATCTTCCTATCCTATATACACTACTCATGTATCCTTTACCTATATATCTGTTGTGCATTTAATCTCGTGTATCTATCTCCCTTTCCATGCTTCCTTAACGACAACAATCGTGTGTTTGTATTCCGAAGTAATGTATCAAAGTTCATTTGCTGCAAACATTTTTATTATATAACTCGTGCCGCGTATGGTTGTGATGGTGGTGATGACGATGATGATGAATGCGTGTGATCATGATAATGATGAGGAGGATATAGATAATGATGACAGTGATGATAATGATGATTGTGGTGGTGCTGATGGTGATGATTATGAGGATGATGAAGAGGAGGTTTATAGATGTGTGAAAATTTTATCTGCCTAATGTGTTACTGACGAGGCCTGAGGTTTATTTCTATTCATTATAATTAGAAGACATTTTAAAGAAATTTTGGATTTTTCAAACTTTTTAAATTTTATCCGAAAATAATTATTTTTTATCAATTTTAGTCAAATTTTTTTTCAATTATTAAATGAAACTAATCGTTTGTTACGTTTGTTTTGATGTTAATTTTAAATTAAAAAAAAGTAAAAATTGCAAAAAAGTTGTTGGTGCTCAAATGTTTTCACGATAAAAAAAAAAATAAATAAAATATTTTTCTTTGTTTTCAGTCTTTGGTTATACATGCATGCTTTCATCATCTGGATGACGACATCAACAAAAAACCAACACAAACAACCTCATCAATAACAAACAAAATTAATCATTTAAAAAAAGTAATTTATTAAATAACTTCTAACCCTGCATTAATCAGAAAAATTTACTTTGATTAGTTTAAAAATTTGGAAAAGTAAAAGACAAAGCCATCAAACTCGTTGAACCATGGTTAGTTATGAAATTTTTTATTTTTTAAACCCAAAAATATGTCTCTACAAACTTGAAACTTATTTTAGTACGCAGCTTGACTCACGCAGGATGAAATATTAAAAACATGCAGCCCAGTGTGTTTTTGCAGCAGATTTTTAGCCTAGAGAATGCTAAAAATACAAAAAATCTCACGTTGAATTAAGCCTCACAATTTTTAGTTAAAATTTTAAAATTTATAAAATGAATCTTACTTGTAAATACTGCAGTGAAATAGTTTCTAACTTTCCTCAGGAACGAAGTGAAGTTTCGAGGGAGCGAAGTCGCAGCAGCAGGCGGAGGAGGAAGTCCTACCCGAAGCTCAGGTGCAAGCGAGTTCGATGCTTTGTCTGGGTGAAACACGTCAGCAGGAAGAGGAAATGCAGTAAGCAAAAAAAGTAGAAAAGAAAAGTAGAAGAATTGAATTGAAAGTGGAAGCAGATGTGAGAGTGCTCGAAGTAAAACAGAAGTGGAACATTAAAAGTGGGAACATCAAAGTGGGAGCAGACGGATGGACGGTCGTCAATCAGGAAGTCGGCTAAGCAGTCGGTCAGGCGGACGCACTGCAGTTGGAAAAAAACAAAAAAAATGTAAAATAACTTCACAAAACAAAAATTGTTCGAGATCAACTCGTGGAAAGAATGCACGGCAAATGAATGGTGAAGAGGAGCCTAGGACAGTGCAGGATGGCAGGTGTGACGTTCTCACGCTCCTGCGTTTGCTGCCCATTCCTTTCGCCTTTTCAGCAATTCCATTCAGTCTCATATACATCGTCCTCAAACAAGTCAGCAGAGAAATTTTGAGATTGTCATTCAAGGCGTGCGTGAATGTTTTCAATAGGAAAAGACGTTAATAAACTTTTTTCCTTTTTTGTGATACGGAAAGCTATTCTCTGTTATCTCTAACTATTAGTATATTTTACTAAACAAATTTTATTGACTTAAACTGAAAAATATAATGTTTTGTCATTACATCATCATAATAAATAAATAAATTAATTAATTAATTAAATGAAACAAATAAGCGTTGCGGCAGTTTGTGAAATAAAATTCAGCTCAGGTGAGAGCCGATCGTGAAATATGCGTATCGTATCGTATCGTATCATAAATTTGTACAGCAAAATGTCGGCAGTTCGTAAAAAAAAGTTATTCGTGGTTGTTGATGACCCCTTCAATCCAGTCTACGAAGGAAGCCACTCGCAAGAGGATGTTTGGCGATTGGACGCGAGTCTTTGAAGCGATGCCCATCAAAGTGTACGAACCTGCAATGATTGGTTCAGTTGGTTTGTGTGGTCAAAAGTTACGGCGTTAAAATAATTCAAAAAATGGATTTACTCAAAATTTTAAAAATATATTAAAACAAAACCAAATTTCGTCAATTTTTTTATAAACTAACAATTGTCACAATCACTTTATAATTAATAAAACTATGTTATAATAATTATGCATAATTATTGATGCGAAGACTGACCAACCATTGATATTGCAAACGAAAGGCCCTCCACTGTCCCCGTGGCAGCCTCCCACCTCCCTATCGTTGTATCCCGCACAGAAAGAATCATTCGTGAGAAAGTACCTATTGAGACTGGGGAATGAATGGTGGCACTCCTCGCTGCTCATTATAGGCAGCCTCACTGACTGCAACTTGTCTGGTTTCGCTTTGGAATCTTTGAGTTGGCAAAAACATAAAAGGTTGTATTGATGGAAATAAAAATGCATTTTTTAATACAAAATTTTAATGAAAATTTAATTAGTAAAAAATTGAATAATTAATATTGTAGTTAGAAAGTTATTTTATAATTTTGTATAATTAAATTATTGATACAAATCAATGCGAAGAAATTGGCTTCAGAACCTCTCTGCCATCTGCCCCAGCCAGCCATCTCACATGGAAGCTTGGGATCGTAGGGAGTTGAGCTGCTGGGTAAGCAGGCAGGTTGGATAAAACTGTTGAATTGAATGAATTCAGAAGAAAGGTTGTAGTTCTTCCTGTGCTTCGAAGATTTTTTCAACTTCAACAGGGCGATGTCTCCTAGCTTGTGACGGCTCGTTTGCAAAGCATGCAGTTTGGAACCTTCTTTAGTTTAGTCCATGAGATTATTTGAACGTCAATTAATTTAAACAATGTTAAAATAAAACAATTTTATTCGTAAATCACTAAAATATTTCAATAAAATCGTATTTATATCCCAATTGATCAATATTGAGAATACGTTATTAATTAAGTTTTTTTTCAGGTTAAATATTTTTTTCATTAAAAATTAATGTTCTTCAAGGTTTTCCATCATTTACCAACGTTTTGACACAGAAAGTTATTTAAGTATACAAAATTTAACAAAATAAAGATGAGCATTTAAAATCAACTCTCAGTTAATTTGACACATATTTCTGCATGAATTTGAATGTTAGATCACGACTCATTCAAAATCTTCCAATAACTTTTGCCTTAATCTTAAGGCCTATTATGTAGGCAGGTAACAAAAAGTGAAGAGTGAATGAGTGTAACAATCTTACCTGTTGAAACTTCGAGTTCATTGACCGAGATGTCAGACTTCTTAAAGCTGCGGCTGATTTCACTGGTGTACTTGTAGTCAGGGTGCGTGTAAATACCTTCAACGTGCCAAAGTTCTTCGCGAGAATCACCTTGCGACGACACGTGATCAGCCAGCAAAACCGCCAAACTGCCGATGTACTCATTTCTGTGTTGTCAAATAATCATTTGCATCTAATTTATTCATTTCGTTGCCAAGTAAATCATCAAATAAATATTCAACACGTGTTTAGTAGTCAAACAATTTAGGAAGATGAAGTGTGACTTTCTAATGAAATGCTGCGATCAGGTCATACGACTTGAGCAAAACTTTAGAAAATTGTTTGTGATTGTTTAGATTTCTTTAGTTTTGTTTCCTACATTTAACTGATTTCAATTCAGCTCATAACATTTACAAACTAATATTTATCTTGAATTGCGCAATTTTATTAATTTATGAATGTATTCTTAATCAATTTTTAATTTGTTCTGAAATTTTTATAAGTTTTCTAATTTTACAACTCTTAAAATTTTGATTTTTTTAAGTTGTTTAGTTTTACAGTAATTGATATTCTAAGATTCAAAGATATTATTTTCATTTTGAACTTTTCCAAAGTAAATTGATCTACTGATAAATAATGTTATTCACTCTTCCCTGTTTTAAAACACGCTGAATCAAACTGCAAAGATGTAAGTTATTTTGTTTCATTTAATTGTTATTGAACTACCTTATTAACATGATATATACGAGGTTTTTGTTTTTTTTTTATAGTTTGGTGAAGTGAGCTATTATTAAATTATGTTGTTTTTTAACAGCTGCAATGTGAAACAAGAAAAATCTTTCTTTTTTGCATTAATTGGAATCAGTTGTGTCTGCCTCTCCGTGCGTTTGTTTGTTTGTTTTTTATTTTCTAAAGTGCCAATTAGTGTCTTGGCAGTTTATTATGAAGAGTTGAAACAGAAAAGAGTTTCGAACGTTGAAAGGATTTGTTGTGACACCGAAATCATGTGCGCATGAAATGACAGCAACTAATCTTCCTTGTCGTTTTTGAAATATTTCTGCTGTCATAAACAAATTCTACATTATTCTTCAAACAAAGAGTGCCTATGGAATAATAACTTTCACATCTTATAATAATAGTATCGCACAACTGGACAATAAATTTATTATAAATGTTTCACGGAAGGAATTGAACTATACCTGATACAGTGGGCCGAGGTGAGGACCCACCTGCGGTTGATTATCGTACCACCACAAACGTGCATGGCTTCCTTCTTCGTCAACGCAATGATTCGAGCCAGCCAGGGGTGCGAACCGTAGGCAGGACTTTTCCCTCCGAGAACTCTCGTTGAGAAGGGATGGATGTACCTCCGGCCACAAACGTCCTTACTGATCGTTGGAAAAATTTCTTTAGTTTGCGTTGTGGCTGTTTCATTAGTTTTCATGAAAAGTTGTCATTTTTGGAGTGTTTTTGTGTTATTATATTTAAATTTTATTGATGGAATTCAGTCTTTAATGTTAATCGAAGTTGAAAAGTTTGGAGTAGACTTGCGAAATAAATTTAATTTTAAAAATTTATCATGACCACTTCAAACAAAGCTCTAACCAACAAGTTGAAAATGAAAATTTCCTTATAAACATTCTATAAGAAATTTTTCTTTAAAAACAAAATAAAATTTCTCAATGAAAGCCAACCATGTGACGTTGAACAAATGACACCAGCGTCTTGAAGATGTGAGCAGTTGTGTCTGCCGACGAAGATGGACGAACATTCGGTGACGTCATGCTCATCTCCCCTGCAGGCCACCTCACTGGCCCAGATCAACCCACTGCCCATCCCATACCTGTCACGTGCGTTCCGTACTGCCTTCGCTTTGCTTACAGATCTGATGGTCATTGTTAGATCTTGTTTTGGCTAATGATGATGATGATGATGATGATGATGATGATGATGATTATGATGATTGGATAATATTTCTGGTGGTGACAATGATGGTGTGGTTAGAACTTGTTTTTGGTGATGATGATGATGATGATGATGATGATGATGATGATGACGACGAAATGTAGGGCCGCAGTTAGAAATGATTTTCTTACATCCTTGTTAGCTTCAAAGATGAATGCATGTACAATGAATGACCCAATGGTTGATTTATTTCAGCATAATTAAGCAGGCTTATTGAAACGTCTCACCTTGTAATTTATCGCCTTATGACGCAACAACTAATTTATGTTCCATTATTTTTAAAAATCGGAGCTTATTACTGAAGAGAACAAAACTTCAACAGCCGTACAAACGATTGTGCTAATTTGCGCCTTTGCATAACAATAAACACATTTGAACTTGCACACATATTCAGACACAAGCAAAACAAGTGGGACAAACAAAATAATACTGGTTAACATTAAAAAAATATGCATTCCATATTTAAAAGCATCCAGGCAAGTACTTACTTGAATCCGAGCATCCGGCAGATGACTTTTGCGTCCCTGTCGTCCCAGCGATCCGAACATATTGTTCCCGTTATGTTGCTGATCTTCAGCTCCACTCTGCCCTCCCCACGACCCACTCCCCCCTTCAGACTCACGTGTATCTCTGGTGGCAAGGATTTTTAGTCAGTAATTTAAAACACTTGTGTTTTCTAACCATGCGTTTGTGCAGATGTACGGTGCTAGGATCGTTGTGGTTGTTGCTGCATGTTGTGGCTGTGTGTAGATGTTGTGGTTGCTGTTGCATGTTGTGGCTGGGTGAGATATAGTTGATAAAAAGATACGTGGCAGATAAAATAATGCTAATGCAAGAATAATTTTTGTCTTTTTTTTTAAATCAGATTAGCTTTTTTCAACCTTTTAACTGAAGGCACAGTAATCACACTTTACACTTCACATGAAATAATTTGAAATGAGAATTAGCACCAAATAACAAATTTATCGGATTGATGAACTGAATTAATTTCATAAAAAACACAATCGTAAAAGACGATTTATTTCAACAAGATCGAACTGAAAGCAATCTGTGCGTGTGCGTCCTATGCTGGCAAGCTAACTTTTAATAAGTGAAGATGGGTGTGAATGGCTTACCGCGGTTATTTAAACTGATAAAACTTTCAGTTTTTTTAATAATTTATGGTGTAATATATGCATATTTATGTTTATCTTATATTATATATATATATATGCGTATGTTTGTGTGTGCGTGTATGTGTATACATGTATGTGTGTGTGTGTGTGTGTGTGTGTGTGTGTGTGTGTGTGTGTGTGTGTGTGTGTGTGTGTGTGTGTGTGTGTGTGTGTGCTGTAGTGTTTGTGTGTGCACAGTGGTGGATCTAGGAAACCTAGGGAAGCCGGGAAGGGCAATACTATTTGTTAATAATTTTGAATGAGCAGTTTTTTTTTGTATTAAGTCAGTAAAACTAATTGTTATAAGCTTGAAAGTGCCTTCTTTGACAAAAAAATGGGGACGCGATGATCATAACAAAAAAGAAATGTCCTCAGCCACCCCGCAACATTGAAATATATTGAAACATTTTCAAAAATTCTAGCCACGATCAACCTTTGAAAAATGTTGGCCCCTCCCACTAAAGTTGTCTAGATCGGCCAATTTACGTGTTCCTAAGTGGTGATGGTGAGTGTTGTGTGCATTTAACGATGCATGTATAAACAACACGATGCCTAAAAAACGCACGAGCAAATATTGAACGTATTTGTAGAAATCGATCGTACACACTTGTGAAGATAACAAACACTAACTGAAGCAATTGAGTTCATCGGAGCCGTCGTGGCAGTCCCTCACGTGGTCACACGTCATGTGCCGGGGCAGGCATTTGTCGTCGCATGGAAAGCTCTGCGATTGGTTGCACCTTCTTCCAACTGCGATCAATTGATTAATTTCATGGCTCTCAGTACTTACTGCATTCGTTTCAAATAATGTATGATGTAAATTATTACACGTTATCTTTGTAATTTAATTCTATGAAATACTTTTGTTACAAGTACAAATCCTAATTATGCTAACTCTTCGGGTGAAGCTTCAAAATTCTGCCCTGCAAAAAGATAAAAATTAAACGATGATTCGCAAATTATAACTTCTGGCTTAGTTTATTTTCGTAATTTTGAGAATAAGTCTAAGTAATTTAATTTTCAAATTATTCTTTAACAAATAAGAAATTGGGTGATTTTATGGAAAAAACACCAAAATATCTTTCAATTTTAAAATTTATAAAAATATATTAGGAATTTAAAAAAAACAGAATTTTGAATTGGAAATTAAAATAAAATAACCAACCTGCAGATAACAGAGCGACAAAAATAAAATGACACACCGGAACAAACTGGAACGATGAAAGTTCTTCATACAGATCAACAACAGTTCAAACATTTTATTCATAAAACAATTAACTAGTTTATTATAATTCAATAATTTTTAAGTTTATTTTCCTAATTTGAGCAACTTTCCCAATATTATTCAGCAAGAAATTGCTATGTTGAACATTTACATGAGTTTATATACATAAAAATTAGCGCATTGAGCATAAAATAACTTTTGAAAATGTCTTCTTAACTGATCACATAAAAATTATCTCAATGCCATTGAGTCTTTGTTAAGTTCGAAGGCATTAAATTAGATTGAAACGGAAAAATATGGACATATATCACAATTAAAAATTGCGCAACGAATAGAATTTTTTTGTCTCATTTTCAAAACAGTTCGAAAGAGTTCAAAGGTCACATCGTCAACAAATAAACTCTTGTTGAGGAAATTTAAAGTTGATCGAGTACGTGAGAAGTTGATGTCTTAATATGAAATAAATTATGTGAATGAAATAAGTATAATATTAATGAATGAGCCCGACAAGACATCACATACGAAATTACAGCAGAATAACATTTTTCAAGTGTTTTACAGCACGCTGCATTTATGTTATTTAAATTTTCTTCAAATATTAACAAACAGATGTCAAAACATTTTCTTATTAAAAGCCACGAGGAAATGTGCGTCTTTGAAGTATGACTGAGTAATTATTTACCAGCAACAAAAAAATCAAAGGACGAAAAGAGTAAAGTAAGTAAAGTAAACATAAAAAGGAACGGTGAAGAAACAAATTGCATTCCTGCCCTATTAAACTTTGCCTCAACAAATCTTGTTGAGTGACAAACATGTTTATGCTTTCCGTTCCGTGGAAAGGAGGTTTAATGTGGAGTTTGACAGTTCAGATGACTCTGCATTGTAATTACTTTCTATGATTTGTTTAATTGTCAAGAACACGTCTGCTAGTTCAACAACATTTAATATTTGTTATTTTATTGTATGGTCACACCCAGTATTTGTGATTTTATTGGGTGCTTACCCAGAGTTAAGTTATATATTTCAAACAGAAAACTTTACAGAACTTTTGAAAATGATGAACAAATAAACGGAGAACATAAGAAGAGTTCAACAGGCCCGAACATATCATTGGTCATCTGTAATGAGAACAATCAGCATTGTTTCCATGCACGTTTGCCAGCAGGTCGGTAGGGGAGTAAGTGACTTGGGGCATGAAAAGATTTTGTTCTATCGGGTTCTTCATTCTCAATTTCGCAAATCTCGCTCTTTCAAAACTATTGAATCAATTGAAGTTAAATCTAATTGTATGAATTAAAAATTCATTTGATCTCAAAGCGTAAGAACCTTTTGAACGTGTTGTCCGTCAAATGAAAATTATTTTTCAGCTCTGTCAGATTTTTTTCCAAAGAACTTCGTTGATCGAAAGAAGGATTAGGTTTGCTTAACTGGATAACTGTATGACTACAACTTTTACTCTTTTCGGTGAAATTTTTCTCATTGCACTCTAATCTTTCATTTAATCTCGTTTCTGCGGGTGCGCTCGATTTCAAGAAAGGCTGCTCGTTGTTGTTATCAAAAATTTCTTTCGGAATGTTCGGGCTCATTATTTTGTTGCTGTAATGAAAGCTTCTGGCTGCGAGAACTGGCAGATATTGATTGTCGGAATTTTGTAAGTTGTTGTTGTTGGAGCCAGGCCTAACTTCCGCGTCCAATTTTTTTTTTTCAATAGTTGCATCATGTTTGTAAATGGAGTTGTTCGTCTGATCGTGTGGAAGGTTGTCGTATGCGTTGTTGTGATGGCTCAAATCTCCTGCTGTTCCTTGCGGAGCTGTCTGGGCGAAAACATCTGCCAAGATTTGTATGAATTAAAGTTGATTAGAAATATTAAACATTTCTTTTTTAAGTAGATATTTTATCACGTGAATAAAAATGTTATCAATTTCGAAATTTTACATCTTATTGGAAGCGATTGGCCTTCAGCATTATTTAAACGCATTATCACAAAATTTTTGTTACTGCGTAATAAATTTATTCAATGATACAACAATTTTTAAAACAACACGTAGTTACGTGTTAATGAATACGTAAACAAACGAAGTGCATCATAATTCCATGCAAGTGTTCAAAAATTTAAAACAAATGTTCTGTTTAAGCCTCACAAAATTCACGTTTAAATATTTTCATAAGATAAAATTTTAAATAACAATAATTATGAGACATAAGAAAGAGTTTGTTAATAACTTTGTATGACAGATTCATTAGCGAGCCAACCACTGTTGATAACCGTTTCATTCTCGTCCCGTTCCCCATCGTTGCCGAATTTCGACGTGAAATCCAAATTGCTTTTCAGTTTCATGATTTCCAACTTGTCCCAGTTGTTTGGTAGGTTGTTGCAATCCTGATTGACAATACACTTTTCCAGTTTGGTCGAGTAGTCGTTGACGAACTCTCCGAGTGAGGCGGAAAGAGGTTTTCGTTTGTTATGAGGAGCGCAGCGAGGCTTATCCAGTTTGAAGTCTCCAGGTGGTGTCACGCCGCTGCTCAGCATGGCATGGTACCTTAAAATAATGAATAATGATAATCATGATTTCGACACGGCTCCTCGAGTCATTATTAAGATCGTTCAGTTAAGGTGTAAATGTTATATTAGATTGCTAATTAATGCGCTCATTATTGAATAATTGATCAGCTACAATTCAAAAATTAATATGATTTGTTAGTTGAACAACGTGAACTGGCGAAAATGTTTAAAATCGATTCAAACAAATGATTCTAATTTAATTTTCCAATTAAAACTTCCAAAAACGTTGATTACATCTAAAAAAAAAAAATAGCCCGTAGTAGACGGAGCGAGCAAGGCAACCTACTTGTAAGCATTGAGTAGGAGGTCCTTCGTTTCCTTGTTCGTGAATATCCAACCAGAGAACTCCACTTTTTGAGACAGATCGTTCATGCACATGTGTTGGAAGCGAACCAGCGGCAGAAGGTCCTTGCTGTACTTTAACCTCGAGGATCTATCAAATTTATTTCACTTTTTTATTTACCAAAAACAATTATATTTAAATTTACTTTTTATGAAACTAAAAAAATCTATTTGCCTTAGAACAACATTATATTTTGTGTGGCCAACGTGAAAGATTTTTTAAATATTGTAATAAAATTATTCATTAACTGAATTTTGCACATTATATTGACAGTTAACAGAATCAGTTGAAAATGGCAAAAGCAAATACATAGAACGTACAACAATAAGAGATACATAGGTTGCACGATTGAAGCTGAAAATACATTGAAATCATATAGTACCTGTTGAAGTCTACCCACTTTACGATGGCGAAGAATATGTCAATCTCACGACCACACATCTTCGGATGCGTTAAAAAGGAGTACAGTCTGCCGGTTTCATGTGTTGTTTGATATTTTAAATGCAATTTTAGTAATTTTTAATTCTTGGCGATAATATCTGTAAGTTATTGGTGGCCAGTGTTCACTGCAACGATTCACATATAACATTGAGATAGAATAAAAATCTAACTCTTGTAAACAAATTGAACATAGACAAAAATGCAATACTAAAAACACAGTCAGAGTGCAATTTGAATCTGTAAACACCTTTCGAACGGGAGGTAGCAAAAATATTTTTGCTCAGATACTTCGATCATCGAGTTGGCGATGACGTCAGCGAAACCTTCCTCGGCGTACCTCAGGTTGTTGTTGGCTGCCACCGAATAATTCAGGAGCACCTGGTCAGGTGTGCAAGTCTTGATTAGGAAATCTCCGCAAACGTTAACCAGAGTTGAAAGGTCAAGTTCTCGACTGACGGCCACCACCATTCCGACGTTGGCGAGTTCCAGGTGGATGTCGGTCGTGTACATGAAATTGATGACGTCGGCAACAACGTCACACGGATAATCTGTCATGTTGAAGGTCACCGGATCGTCCGTGTGTTCGAATTGCAAGCTGTGCTGCTTGAAGACGGAAGCCAGCGTTGGGCTCCACGCTGCCATTATTACCTGCGTTGTGTAGTTCCTTCTTAACTTCTTTTTTGAATAATTCAAAATAAATGTAAGATCGATTGATCATAAGCTATGATGTTTTGAAAAAAATATTGAAATACAATTATATCAAAAGAAGCAACTTAAAAATATCTACATTACAAAATATTTGTTTAACTACGTTGAACATTGTTATCGACCAAACATGTTTCGTTATCTTTTCCCTTATTAAACACCTGATGAGCCATGATCTGCCCTCCGTTGGCCACTATGGTCACATCACACGTCGTTTGTTCCAACCACAAACTGTGCATGAACTGGATGACCCTGCGTGATCCCTGATTGTACGTGACGTCATCAAGAGGAAACTGTTTTCTGTTTGAATATCTGCCCATGAGGAGAGCTCCCGATGCAATCTTCAACTGGCTGGATGGAATGCTTCGATACTGCATCTCATTCACGTCGTTTGCATTTTCTGAGTTCTGATAACTGGGATACTGCGTAAAGTTCTCTTCAAAGTTGTTTGACGAAGCAGACCTGGTCTGATCAAATCTGCCTTTATTATTTGGCATCTGTGTAGCTTGTCTGGCGTCGTAAATAACATTGTAATCCATAGCGTTGATGTCTTGGTAAGAAGATTGTTGTGCATTTGAAGCGGACCTCTTTTGTTTTGAAGAGACGACATCGAAAGTTGACGAGGTAGAATTGAAATAAGTAGGCGCTTTGAGTGCAGACTTTTTTCTATGTGCTGGTTCTGGGGGGACATGGTTTGGATTGTCGAATGCTGTTTGGTCTTCTGGAAGTGTCGACGCGATAGAGGTTGCGTAATTGCTTGTGAACGTTGAAGAGTTCTGCGTGCTGGACTCTCTGCTTGGATACTGACTGTATGTCGATTGGTAGCGTCTGGCAGACAATATGGCGTCATGTTTTTTATTAACCAACGTCGGCGTTGACGAGGAAATCTTTTTATGGAAGAGTTCATTTTTGGCGCCGGAAGATGTGTTGAGTGAGTGAATTTGGTTGTAGCTTGATATCTCGTCGTTGCTGTTGTAATTAATATTTTTTCCACCACTACCACCGTCGTCGTCGTAGTCGTCACCATCAACGTCGTCGTCGCCATCATTACCAGCACTTTTATAATTGACGTAAGCATCGTTTTTGAAATGTCTTCTCCATTTCCTCTGTTGGATGTTTTTAAAATGTTGGTAAGTGTCCCTGAACGAGTGGATGAATTGATCATTTTTTGCGTTGAAGTTCTTGTTGTCTGGTTTCCTTTCCGAGTGATCTGCAAAACGTTTTCAAAGAATGTTCATAATTGTTCTCGCATATGCAGCGCGTATCAACAAATTACAATGTAACATGAATATTTGAACAATTATTTATATTAATATAACATCAATAAAACAAATCATAACCAGGGAACAATTAAACTAATACAAGATGCAATTGTGTGGTGCGGGCGCAAGAAACACTGGTCCCGCCATTGTTACTTTCGAAAAAAACACTGCGTAACAACTGTAGTGCATTGAGCGCTTAACAAATGGGCCATTTTCTTTCGTTAATCATATCTCTCTGCAGTTTAAAACATAACCATTTCCAAACTAATTATTTGAATCACTCCAACCATTCATCATTTCAATTAAAATTATATTAGGTCCTGTAATCATTTTAATTTGTCGTTTTATAATTACAATATAAATATTACTTTTATTGGCATGAGTGTCATCATCTTCATCATCGTCGTCATTGTCATCGTCAGCACCATCACCATGAAGCGGGTGGGTATATTTTGAAGATTGTCCCTTATAGAACATGAAGGATGGATCGAGACCACTGACAATCATGTTCTTCCACATCTCTCCGTCTTTGCACTTCTTATCAAATTTCTCCATTTTTGAAAATTTTACGGGACTTACACTGAGTTTTGCTTCAGTTTTATTTTCTCTCTCTCCAAATATGTCATGGGCAAAACGTTGTGTAAATTTGTGCTGTTGAGTTTTTTGTTGCTGCTGTTGTTTTTGTTGTTGTAGTCTTTGTTGTAGTCGTTGTTGTTGCTGTTGTTTTTGTTGAAGTTGATGTTTTGGATGTTTTTGTTGCAGTAATTGTTGAAAATGTTGATGTTGATCTTGCGTCGAATGCTGTTGATAATTTTGTTGCAGTTGCGGATGAAGTTTTCTCTGTTGATGCTGTTGTTGTTGTTGATGATGATGATGCTGTTGTTGTCGTTGTTTTGGTCCTTGGTGCTGATAATGTTGTTGCGTATAATGAGATGATTTTTGATCTTGTGGTTTATTAAGTTGTTGTGGTTTGTGTTGATGTTGGGAGTCCTGGTGACCTTGAAGTCGTTGTTGATGATGTTGTTGAGGTAAATGATGATGTTGTTGAAGTGAATGATGATGTTGTTGAGGTGAAGGATGATGTTGTTGAAGTGAATGATGATGTTGAAATGAATGATGATTTTGTTGAGGTGAATGATGATTTTGTTGAAGTGAATGATGATTTTGTGGAAGCGAATGATGATGTTGTAGAGGTGAAGGATGATGTTGTTGAAACGAATGATGATGTTGCAGACTTTGTTGAGGTGGATTATTTTTATTGCGCTCCACAGAAAACTCATGTTTACTAAGTGAATAATTTAACTGATCGCAGTTCTCATGATTGTCACCATCACCACCACCACCACCATCATCATCATCACCACCATCATCATCGCCGTCACTACTCCCGTTATATTTATGATCCCCTCGTGCTATGTACCTCTCTTGAAAGTTAACTCTTCTACTTTTGAAGTTGCTCGAGTTGTTATTGTTGGTACGTTCTTGAATGGGCGGTGACAGGTTAGGGGGTAGTGGTGGGGGTGTAGGTGGTCTGGTGGGAGGGATGTACCTGGGATCGGTGGTCTTTTTGAAAGTTTCCAACGATATTTGTCTTATCCGATTTTTCAACTGCTCCGGCGGTTTCTTCATGTTGCTTGGATGACATTTAATTTAATTATTAATTTTCTTCCGTGAATATTTGTTTACCATGTTCATTCAAGATGTTTATAATTTGTACGTAATGAATTTAATTTTTAGAACATTCCAATAAAATTTTTTACGAGTTTGTAATTTAACATTCACCAGTTAATATTTACTGCCCAATCATTCGCACTAACATCTCATCTGAGATGACTTTCTCATTGAAGAACATCAGGTGAAAACTATCTTTCTCGCTAGTAGAGGAACAACTGTTGTTGATGTTATTACTCCTGTTGTTGTCGTTGTTGATGTTATTAATACTCTTGTTGTTGTAGTTGTCGTTGTTGTCATCATTGTTGTTTTTGCTCTTGTTGTTGTTGTTAGTTTTGTTGTCATCGTGATTGAAGTTTCTTTTGTTGTTGATTTTTGTTTTTGAATCTTCTTTGTTAAAATTTTCATTGATGTAATTGTTGGATGCATGCGTGTTATTTCTGATGTTGATGTTTCCGACCTTGTTACTACTGCTCATATTCTCTAAATAACGGTTGTTAGAGAAGGCGTCAGTACGTAGAGTTGTGCTTTCTTCTGTTCTTCTCTTAAATCCAAATTGTTTGCTGATGTCATTCGAAGTGATGTCATTGCTGTCAGCGTTTTCGCTGTTGCTGTTGTTACTTTTGCTAAGTTGAGTCGTATTGGTAATATTGATCAGGTTGCTGTCATTGTTGTCAGATGCAACAGTATCATTGTAATGTTTGTTGGTAGTGTTGGATATGTAATCGGAGTTTGGCCTATCACGTAACTTCACTTCTCGAATGGGCTTGATTATTTCATTGAGATCTCTAGAAAAGTATAACTTACATGTTTTTTGAATGTTTGTGTTAAGGTCATAGTTTTTGGTGTCGTTGTTGTGCTTTGTACAGTCGTTAATTCTGTTGTCTTGCTGATTAGCACAAACCTGAAAAATGTTGTCTGAAGTGTTGTTGTTATAGTTAATGTTACTGTAGTTTGCATCGTTATGTTCTACATTGTTTGACATGTTGTTGTTGTTATATTCTACTTCTTCTATAATGTTGTTCAAATATTTGTTACAATTCGTTCTTCCCTTGTGACAGTTGTTCATATTACTACTTCCTTCATTAGGATGGCGTGTTCTCGTCTGAAAATCTTCATTTAATACAATCTCAACCCCTTTTTTTTCATCGTTATTAGAAATGATCTGATTGATATTTGGAGATTTAACCCGATGACGCGATAGGTAATCTACGCCGTTGATGGCAATTTCCGGTTGGTTCTGTGATCCGGAAAGATTGAGTTGGAAATTTTTTGGCAGGTCTGTAAACACGTGACCACCATCATCATAATCATCACTTTCTACAAGTTCTTCATTTTCGTTAACCCAATATTTGCTGGAGTTATGATGGTCATTGTGAGGTCTCAATGTTGTCTGGTCATCATCGTCATTATCATATTCGTCATCATTCGCATAATCATTATTACTTATCTCATTATCGCTATCATCTTCACAGCAACCATCATTTTCATATCTATGTTGCGACAAAACAGCGTCGACGACATCTTCGGCGTCTGCGTAGACCCAAGAATTTAAAATTTCGTTTTTTTGATTGACGACTTCTGGAAATTTTATGTCTATGTTGTCGCTTTGCATGTACTTCTGTTAAGTTCTTTTCAATAAAATTTCTATGACGTCTACACGCATCTATGAAATCAAATGTAAAAATTTAGGAATTATAATGCTTTTGAAGCAAATGATCATATATTAGTGGGTTGAGAAATTTTTAAAACCATTCAGATTTCTTTTAAAGAATGTATAAACGAAACAAAACACCAGCATTAATTGTGATATATAAATTTTTTCACACAGATGCACATCAATATATGCGCCTTAAATGTACACAAACCGTGACGTGCCAACATAGCATAAAATAAATTGTTATGAAGTTCTTTATTTTTTTGCGAAATTATACGAAATGATCATCGCTCTTTAATAACATATTTCGGAAGAACTGACTAAAAACCACAACAGTTGTAAAATGATTCGCGTGAACTTCGCAACAGCGACGGATGTTCAACTAAGTAGCTCAGCTGACAAGCTGTCAGACATGTTCACTTTAGCAATGCGCCCATATTGATACACCAAGATAAAAATAGCAATCTGCTCTTTATGATTTAAAACACGCCGTCGTATAATGTGATTAGAAAAGATGGTTTTGCGATTGAGCTGTAGTTAGCAACAAGTTTTGAAAAACATTATCATGAAGTGGATAGAAATAAGGAATTCAACTGTAATTTTCAACACGTGTTGAAAAAGTTCGGAGAAAAGCTTCTCAATCTGTATATAAATCTTTCTTATTTCAATATATTAATCTTGCTTAATCTTTTATGTTTTGTAGCCACGGTGTTTTTCTGTCTACATTACGTCGATCCTCTATTTTTTCATATATAATAAGACGAAAAAAATGCCATTCAAAGCATAACCCAAATAGTTCTTTTGAGTATTTCTTTAGGAATCTACATTTTTAGTGTCTCTGATCTATCCATAGAGTTTGCCTTTAGTGTCTAGGGTATAACATAATTTAAAAAGCATCGACCGCATATAAATTCATTTTCATTGAATGTTCCATGTGAGACACAACTTTTATATAATGATGTATAGATCTATTTCCCGGCTAACCATGTTACCAAAGAGTTTTAATTTTTTCACTCTTTTTAATTTTCATTATCTTCTTATTGCGACGTTTATCACAGGATAATATCTCAACCAAAAATTATAAATTTGGTTTTTTGAATATTAAGTTTCAAACCTCATTTGTCTCCGACTAACTTTAATGAGTCGATAAGTATTTAAAAATAACGTGATTTATTCAACAATTTCAAAGTTTGCAGATGATACCAAATTATGTGGGAAAGTTAACAACGATGAAGATGCAGAAATATTGCAAAAAGACCTAGCAAGACTGTACCAATGGTCCAAGGACTGGCAAATGCTTTTCAACGTTGCCAAATGTGCAGTCATGCATTTTGGGAGAAAGAACGCTAGATATGAATATAAAATTGGTAAAAGAGAACTACGATCGACAGAGGAAGAAAAGGATCTAGGAATCATTGTTCATCAAAGCACAAAACCGTCAAGACAATGTACAGCCGCAGCGGCCAGAGCCAATACGATCTTGGGATTTATAAGAAGAACAATGGTCAGCAGAGAGAAGCATATTATACTGAAACTGTATAAAACCCTGGTCAGACCTCATCTGGAGTACTGTGTTCAAGCATGGAGCCAATACAAGATAAGATAAGAAAGATAAGGAAGTTTTGGAAAAAGTACAGCGTAGAGCCACAAGAATGATTAGAGGAATCGGAAAAATGGAATACGATGAGAGATTGAAAAAATGCGACTTGACATCATTGGAAAAAAAAAGATGTAGAGGAGATCTAATCCAATTATATAAATTGATCACGAATAGGGAAACAACACCATACTCGAGATTTTTCAGGCTAGTAAACAGTGATAAACTACGAGGACACAGATTTAAGATTTTCAAAAACTCGGATGGAAAAATAAAGAGCAGATTCTTCAACAGTAGAGTGGTCAACGCCTGGAACGAGCTCGTACAGATAGGATATTAGGAGATCTAATTAGTAGTAGTTCTTACACAGACCATAGTCTTCTGAACCACTTTAAACCCCGTTAATAATAATAATGTAATCTGTGACGATTTCATTATATTTAATTCATGTATAAGCTCAAATTTTAAATGGTTTTTTTGAATCACATAGAAAACAAATACACTTTAAGGTTAAGCGGTGAGAGAAGGATAACGTGCAGTTTTGGCGATGAACAGGTTATAAGCCTGCAGAACATGGATATATATAATAAATATCCATGCTGCAGACCAACAGCATTTTTAACAAATGCCAGCGAATTTTAGACATTTTAAACTTATGAATGAAAAGATTTATTTTAAAAGTGTCGCATTGTTGTAGACATTCGCTGAATTATATAGTTCGGAGTAGCCATTTTTATTCAATCAAAAATAAACTAGAACCAAATTTTTTTTATTTGTTGAATTTGTATACAACTGTTTTTGTAAAAGTTTAGTTAATTGTTTATGTTGTAGACATTGTTGTAGACATTCGCTGAATTATATAGTTCGGAGTAGCCATTTTTATTCAATCAAAAATAAACTAGAACCAAATTTTTTTTATTTGTTGAGTTTGTATACAACTGTTTTTGTAAAAGTTTAGTTAATTGTTTATGAAACAAAATCTGAACCCTAAACGAATCTGAAGATTTCTAAATTGAAAAATTAGCAATCATGGCCTTCCATATTTTGATTTGTAAATCTGCATATTTTTATGAAATGCCACAGCTTGACTTTCGTTATTTGTTTATCTAAATCTTTTAAATTCCGTTCGCGAATGCACGCGGATTTCAAATGAGCTTCTACGAGTTGATTGTTAAAATTTTTCATCATAAGCTGATGTTTTTTGTATTTAAATTTGTTGTGCACAACCTGCCTAGCAGCGAAAGTTACCGTCATTAAAAAAAATTTACTCAGCTGTTGAAGTCTTTTTTTATTCATAATTTATTTTAAAAAGTTTGAAGTTCAGTAAACTGCAAAACATAACAGAGAAAAATCTGACTAATCGAACAAATTTACGGTTTGCATGTGTTAAGTAAGATGGGCCAAATAACATCATCTTTGGGTTTGTGGAAGTCCAACAAGAATGCAGATTATCCATACAACAGCAGCAACAACAGCTCTGAGAGATCCGTCACTCCATACGTCTACAGGAGAAGAGGGTTAGTAGTGGGATTGTTCATTTCATTGGTCATACTGTTTGCAAGTCATCGATGGTTGATCAACTGTTTCTACTGTGTATTACAATAAAATTTCAGTTGCTTAGATTTTAAATAATAAATTTTGTACATATAAAATCATAAATGAATAAATAATAATCAATAATGTAATATACTCTATCTTTATATATTATAATTATATTATTTTAATTTATTGGTTTAGGCTATTTAAGGTATGTTCTGTGTTATACACTGCACATGGAACATATGTAGATGTCTTTGTTGTTACGCTTTGTGCCTATCTCGACTTCAACTATAAGGCCAGCAAATGATTTGATCTGTATCAATCCACTTATGCTCAGATATCAATGCTTATTCTGGTCATTTAAAAAACTAAATAAACTACAATACAATCTGCAACAATAGCAATGAACGCTCACATATTTTTTATAAATTTGTACATTTATTTTTATATGTATGTATATATATATATATATATATATATATATATCTATATATATGTATGTATATATATATATATATACATTTTTACAATATTCTATAAAGTTTAGTGAGAAAATTTGAAAAAACGAACTACAAACATATTAACACCAAACATTCGGTAGAATTTATAGAATATTGTAAAAATTATGGTCTATTACCAATATATATATATATATATATATATATATATATATCAGTGTGTGTGTGTACACACATATAAGTTCATAATTATGTATCTTTTAGTTCTGAAAAGATAAAATATTGCTTCTTTCATTTCAATTTAATTTAAATTTTCATATTCAGGTCCATGTATTTTGATGAAGATGGGGATTTAGCTCACGAGTTTTATGAAGAAATCAAAACACACAAAGGAGTGAAAATGAAAAGAGTGCCAAACAACTGCTTGATACCTCAAGTAAAATTTGTTCACCTGTTTATTTAATTTCTTTGTCCTGTTTTCATCAAACTCTTTTAAAAATTCCCATTTTTGAATTTATTTTAATTCTTTTGAGTTTAAAAATTAAAAATTCATCTTTCAGGGGTACATAAAATTGTCGACTCCAAGATTGAACAAAGACATCCCGATAATAATTCACGAAGCCAAATCATGATTAGTGATAGTCACCTACCTACCTACACATCTCCTTTGTACATAATTCTCTCTTTGTCTCCGTTAACAGATTTTTGACCTTCTTGTATTAACAAATTTATTTTTCTTATATTAAAAAAAGTCTGATTCCACCGAAGTTTAATGTTCCATGTATGAAATTGAAAGCATATTTAATTTTTACTCAATATTATTATCTTTATTATTACAATTCAATCTTCGATAATTTGCACAAGTATCGACAATGAACATACGGTAAATACACGTGAAATAGCCCATCGTTCACGTTGCATGTAACAGGCGGGGATTGCATTGGCATATAATAGGCATATTACCGTTACGCCATTACACATAAATAATAATATTTATGAATTTAAAGTTACAGTTTGAAACTCTCTTGAGAAATATTTTCATAATTTATTATAAGTTTCTATATCATTAATGAAAGCCATGACTCTAATATTATTAGACTGTAATTTGTTCTGCATTGGATTTTCACTAAGGATGATAATTTTACATTTGTTGTCCTACTGATAATACCGATGGAATTATTTTAATAATTATCTCTACGATGAGTTTGAAGTTTTCAAAATTTTTTGTGATTCATAATCATTTAGCGACCGCTTTTTGCATCTTCGACTTAATGTTAAAGATAAATAAATTTAGTTTCGCAATAAATTTAAAGTTATTTTATAAATTTATATATTTATTTATATAGGCATGTATATGTGCGTGTGTATATAACTTAGTTGTGCAATATGACAATATTAAATTATTTGAAAATTTACTTGTGATATTTTTCACTAAATAGAAAGTGTGTGTGGTGTGTGTGTGTGTGTGCGAGTGTAAAGCAAAAAAAGTCTTGAAAGTTTCTGTAGCGAGCAACACACTAATCTTCGTCGTCATACTCTTCATTCCTCAGCTGTAGATTCTTGCTGATGAGGACGAGTTGGTTGCCTCGGTGTCTGCCGTCTTTGTGGACATTCAATTCGCTGCTAGCTACCTGTTCGAATTTCAAGTTTTCAATTGCATCATCCGCTTGTAAAAGAACGATTCATTACTAATGTGTTACCAAAAAAGTTGCTCAAGTTGAAGTGATTTGAACGTTAGTCTGTCGGAAGCTGCTAAAATATATTGTGAGGATATAGATAAGGCGCTTAAAAAAGGCATTACTTTCCATAAGCATGAGAATGAAATTGTGGAGTTGCGCAAAATCATGACGACCGAACCCGTTCAAACAATTCTCTCGGATAACCCAACGACGTTAATAAGTAAATATTAATTGAATAAATGACTAGCATATTGGCTGAAATGGTTGATTCATTATAATAGGTACCTAACCTTTTCATTTTTCATCTGTCTGAGCCAAAGTTTTTCTGTTTCTGTTTAAATGTTTTTGATATGATACAAACCTATGAAGATACGATAAGTGGAAATAATTTTTTTTTCTGTAGAAACATTTTGCCATTCGACAAAGTTTCATCTTAAAAGCCAAAAATGCTAGAGATTTGGAAAATTTATCGATAGCCTGCGGATTAGCCGGCAAATTATGCTTTATCCCCAAATTTTACATTTATGCAAAGCGTTATTCAGTTTGAAAATAATTTTAAAAATATTTTGTTTTTTCAAATTAAACGATGTTGTACAACTAAATCTACCTAAATTGGGTGGGAGACCTCTTTGAAAGTTTTCCAGGCAAATATCAACTTCTTGTTTCTTTGACTCGATAATGCGCTCCATAGCTATTGTTTCTGATTTTCTCATTGAAAGTTCAGCTATCAAAGACATCAACTTTCGGGTTTTTTTCCTTATTTTCAAGTTCAACCAGCCTACCTATAACACAAAATATTTAAATTTTTGATTTATTTTTATTAGTTTTCTTATTTTATGCTTTGCGTTTTTTAAATTAAAGTTAACAAACTGAAGCTGGTGTGGAATAATTTATTATTAAATAAAATTTAATTTACTTGGTTTATGATGTTCAATGTATTTTCCTTGGTCTGGTTTATCTGCACTTGCATGGATTCCGTAGAGTTGTTTAGTTCAGTAACCATTATGTTTTTGTCCTTCACATCTTTGTCCAACTTCCACAATCTTTCTTCCAGCTACATTTTAAATAATTAATTATTTAAAATGTAGTGATTATTACGTAAGTAATTATTTTTTAATTAAATAAAACTTGAAACAAAGGAGCTTTAATGTGATTTCATATTTACTCTAAACCTGTTTGTGTAATCTATCAGATAAGATATTCAACAAGATGGTTTCAACACAAATAAACTGACTGAGGCACAAACTGGTTTCGACAATAAGATTACCAACTTGTATTATTTTGTTGTATATTTCGTCTTCGGACAAAACTTTGCCATCCAAGAATCTAATTCTATCTTGTGCACTTGAATCAATGTGCTTGCGTTCCAACTCAATTAACCTGTCATTGCATTCAGATATCTGTTGCACAGATATTTAAATTAGCAAATTTCTAGGGTTAAACGAAAAAGCTACTGGAATATTTTGTTTGCTATAAAAATATTAAATATTGTACCAACAGAAAATCAACAACTGGATGAGTAACAAATTATAACACTAAGCAAATGAACAATTTAAAAAAACTTATTTGACCTGAATTTGCAGAGTTGTTATTTTGTTTTGTATATTTTGCTTTTCTTTGAGATTTTGTTGCAAAACATTAAGGAAACGTTTGATGTCTTTGATTTTCAACGATAGTAGGTCATATTTTTGATCTTGAGTCGATTGCTTTAGTGTTATATTCATCAATTTGTCATCTGTTTATCATTAATTTGGTTATTGTGTTTTATTAAAATGTTATATTTTTATCTTTAGAATAACAGGTCAGTATTGTTCAGATACTGTGCATGTGTGTGTGTGTGTGTGTGTGTGTGTGTGTGTGTGTGTGTGTGTGTGTGTGTGTGTGTGTGTGTGTGTGCGTGTGCCGCTAACTAACCGATGCTCATCAGCTGTTTGCACAATTTAGCTTGAAGTTCTTCTCTTTTATTTAAGACACGAGATCTGTCGCAAGAAACATTTAAAATGTACGATTTGTATCAAAAATAACAAGCGAAACAACATATGAAAGTTCTATTTCACATTAATTATATTTAAATTTTTGGAACATATAATAAATAAATGAAACAAATAAAAATAAAATGAAAACTTATGGATTTTTAAAGTTTCTTCTTCAGTTTTCACTTCAATAATTTTGTTCATTTCTTTTTTAGTTTTGTTCATAAATTTTTTCAATATTTGAATGCTGTAATTTTTCTCGTTGCATTCATGGTCCAGGTTGGAGAGTGTTTGGTGGCAGGTTCGTGATTCTGCCTGCATCTTCCCTGTCGACACCAACGATGTCAGACATGCCAAGTGCTGCTTTTGAGTCAATCTACCCACGGATTTTAGGTTGAGATTAATTAAATTTAAATGTACTTACATCTGAAAATATTTTGTCAATTGTTTTCGATGTTAAAACCACAAAACAAAATGTTGTCGTTTCGTAATTCTACATTTATCTAAAAATTCGACCGCTTTAAAAGTATAGAAAAAAAATTATTCAAAAATGGGTTTTTTGTAGTTTTTGCGTTTTCGTCCTTGTCATGTACAATCGATAATATTTTGTCGGAATTCAAAAATTGCTTAAAAGTTGTATCTAGTAGTACAAAAGTTGTTTTTTAAAAAATCCAATTTTCAACGCTTATTTTACGAGCTTGTTATCAATTCAACGAGTTAATCAATTTGATTAATTCACGGTAATAGATTTCATAACTGAGCCGCAAATAGAGCTACGATTTACGCATTTCAACAGTTAAAAATTGATTGAGCTAGTTTAACTTAATCTAAAGACTTATTTAATTAGTTTCATGCATATTGAATCTACAGCAATAAGTACAATCCTACTTACTCATCTTTACCAATTGAGGAGTTTTTAAGAACCATCAGTTCACTTTGCTTGATGTTGATTTTACTTTTCAGTTCATCTACCTTCTGTTCACCAGTTAGAAGAAGGCCAGCCAATGTGTTTCGCTCACCTTTCAAAACTTTGTACTCCTCAGAAATCTCCATCAATCTACAAAAATGGCCAACATTAACAATTATTTTAGCCCACGAAAGCTTCATTTGCAGCTCAAGATTTGATTTTGTAAGATTATTATTGATTTATACATGCGCAATAAAGAACAATAAATTGAAGTGTTAATACTTAAGTTCCATTTTTGATAGTCTGGTTTGATGGTCTTTAATAATGTTGTCTTTCATAGCAACTTCCTTCTTTGCATCTTTCAACTGTTCTTCGGACAACAGTTTTTCTCTTGCTTTGCGATTTTTTTGGTCTATCTGTTTGAAACAAATTAGAAGATAAATTTTGTAAAGATAAAGAAAATAATTAAATATGTAATAGAGAGTTGCCGACAATACCAAACTTTTTGATTAGCAATTTTGGTGTGTTCGTGAATTTCAATCCTCAGCTTACTGATCTCTTTCAAAAATTTTTCTTGCCTCTTTATTAGAAATTCAACCATCTTACTTTCCGACTGAGTAAGTTTGTTCTTGAGTAGGATTAAAAAAGTTTTAAATTATAGAATCGCTGCGTAATTCATTTTAATAATTATTTATGGCTTTGTTGCAGGGAATTTGTTAGGGCTAAATCATTATATTTTCTTTATCTTTATAGAATGCCACAGAGCTTTTTTAAAAAAATATTGAATTAAAATTTGAGTTGGTTTATCGATTTTTTTTGTTAAAACCTAGCTGTCTCATTATATAAAAAAACCTCTGTGAGGTGTACACAATTTGTATATGGTTAGATGTTAAGGATTTCAAACAAATCTGACCAATGTGTGAGCAATAATTTTAAGATAAAGGTTAGAAAGATACATTTACATTTGTGCAAAACATTCATCTGTAAAACTGAAAGACCTGATAGATGTATTCATGGTGGCAAGGTACGTTTTTATCGGGTTTTACTTTTTCTTTCATCCGCAAATAATATTT